CGTGGTCCCTTGGAGTTCATTATAAAGGTATTCTACTGTATTTTCAATTAATTCACTACTGCCAAGGTATGTTTGTTTAATTAAATACATAAACATATATGTGTATATAATTTCATAAATAAATTATATATAAATTATATAAACATTATATTAAGTATGCTAAATAAGGTAATGTGTACATTTGTGAGAGATTTAGTAAAAGGAAAAATCTCCTTGAGAGGCAGGTATTTGAATGAGTATTTTTATTTATAAGTTAATGAAGCTTTCATCATGTATGTGTTGTGTATGTATGTGTAATTATAATGGTATTAGGATGTTTGGTATTTTACTGTGTGCTTTGCCAGAACAGTAATTCTGATTTGATGATAATATCTACATGTGTAAGGACATTGTGCAGGGAAGTTAGTTTTGAACTATTTCCATATTTGTAGGTACTGTTGGAGTCAAGTCACTGTAGCCTTCTCCATGTAGTCGTTCATAATGTGACCTACACCTAGAGGCAATACTTCTGGTATGTTTGCATATTATCATCATGTAAAAATATAGAACTATCTATTGATGACGTTTTACACGCAGTAAGATCTGGATAACTGATTCAGGTGGTATCTTACTTGTCAGCACCGTGTAGTCAGATGCTTCACTGTGTCGCAAGGCCAGTATTATAACACCATGTAATGATTCTATATCTACCGTCTTCATTTAATGACGCATATGATGTATGTGTTATCCATTCTTTTGTTTGCAAGCCAAATGAATTATCATGCTCTGATTATATTTTTATTATTATGATTATTGTGTATTTCAGGGTGTGATAATAAATAATGAAATAATACCCAGTCGTCGAATAAAGAGAATCACACCCGTAGCCATGTTGTCATCTTCATTCAAGATGAAGCCATAAAGCTGCTACACAAATAATGAAATAAAATGAATGACACATATAATCTCCACGAAGAGAAATTTCGCATAATGGCAATGCTAAATAATGGATGACAAGATAAAGTCATCAATATCCCCCTCAATGGCAAAATACTCTTCATGATTATGTCTTCGAGTTATGATTATGTCAAATATTTAGGTGTGTAAATAGAAAAGTGGAAGGAGAGTATTGAAAGGTTTTTAAAGTTCTGCTCCAAAAAGTTATATCACCATTTTCAGTCTATGTCAAACTTGTTGCCATGGAAATGCCAAAAATATTTTATTCAGAAATCCAAAACTACCAAAAGGCACCAGTACACTACCAGATCTATGTATGTGCCAAGTTTGGTGAAGAAACATTAAACGGTTTTAGAGTTCTGCTCCGAAAAAGTGCACTACCACCAATTTCAGGCTAAGTCCAACTTGTTGCCATGGAAATGCCAAAAATATTTTATTCAGAATTCCAAAACTACCAAAAGGCACCAGTACACCCCCAGATCTATCTATGTGCCAAGTTTGGTGAAGAAATAGTGAACGGTTTTAGAGTTCTGCTCCGGAAAAGACAAATGTGCACGGAAGGACGGACGGACGGACGCACGCACGGACGGACGGAGTCCATTTTAATACCCCCTGCAAAACATGTTGCGGGGAATAAAAATGTAATTAAGCTAGGTTACTAGGATCCCATGAAGTCCGTGGATTCAGGGTGGGAAATGCTAATAGTGAATGAACAAGAATTACATACATAAAGGGAAAATAGATATAAGTACTTATGTTATGTAATTAGGATACCATGGAGTCTGCAGACTTTGGAAGTCCCAAGGGTGGGAAGACCCTAAGTACAACAAACTAAGTTGACTATGAAGATTACGGCATGGATAAAATATACAAAAACATGAAAATGTAACAAGAAGACAAAGTCATCAATATCCCCCTCAATGGGAAATACTCTTCATGATTATGTCTACGAGTTATGATTATGTCAAATATTTAGGTGTGTATATAGAAAAGTGGAAGGAGAGTATTGAAAGGTTTTTAAAGTTCTGCTCCAGATAGGAGCACTATCACCAATTTCAGTCTATGTCAAACTATGCCAAAAATATTTTATTCAGAATTCCAAAACTACCAAAAGGCACCAGTACACCACCGGACCAATCTATGTGCCAAGTTTGGTGAAGAAATAGTGAACGGTTTTAGAGTTCTGCTCCGGAAAAGACAAATGTGCACGTACAGACGGAGTCCATTTTAATACCCCCTGCAAAACGCGTTGCGGGGGATAACAATAGGAAACATGAGAGGATATGTAAGGATATTGCCTGGATATTCTGGCTTATGCGGGTCTGCAGACCCAAAATCTTAGGTTAAATATGGGTAATAAGAGAGCACCGAACCAATATAATGGGTGGGAGGGTGGGTTTGGAATATCGTTTTGAGAAAGCTGTTCTTACGACAGACGTTTGGAGAAAAAAGAAGTTAGGGAATTGTGGGATGTAAACAAGGAGTGCGCATGACCGGATGTACTTATTGGAATGTTGCGCTTAATAGAATGTACCAGCAGGGGAGATGACAATGCCAGACAAGCAAGGCAACAAGCATTGTCACTAAGGTGACATAATCCCCCTCCGCAAATTATCAAATCAAACTTAAATAGTAAGGAAAGTTTAAGATGAAGTTAAATGTCAACAAAAACATGGCCAGTCAACCTCTCTGGATATCTTCTCTTTAGTTGTTCAAACACACAAATATTTTCAAGACTGACTTTGACCTTGACATGAATGTCATAGTGTATGAAATATGCAAAAATGGTAGTAAAGAAATCTTCAAAGTCTATGAAGAAAATCCAGTGAATGGATTTTGCGATAGCTTAAAATGCAGGTTAACATGCTGAAATCTTCAAAGTGCCGCCATGACCTTGAATTTACGTGAAGTTCACCAAAGTCGTCTGGGCCCTGCGCCGTCCCTAGATAAAGCTTGGTGTTGAATATGAAGAAAATCTAGTGAGCGGTTCTTGAGATATCTAGCTGACAAGAGTAAAACGTTAAAGTCCAATTGTGACCTTGAAATGAAGATCAAGATCACCAAACCTGACTTGGACCTTTCTTATACTGTGATGAATCTAGATACCAAATATGAAAAGAATCTAGTCAACGGTTTTTAAGATATTCCAATTCGTACGGAAGGACGGACGGACGGAGCCCAATACTATATCCCCCGCTTCGTGCTAAATGCGCGGCAGGGGATAATAAAAGTGGTAAATGTATCATGGGCCAAAAGGGGTTACCAGAAACAAGTACTAGATTGAAGATTGGTATTAAGACGTCTTATGTTTGCACAAACAAAAATATAAATTATCATTTTGATATCGGGATGTAGCGCATCAACCCCCTATTGTAGTAAGCTTCAAACGTATGTTCATACTTCTCAGTGTCAGGCTCACGATTCTGCACAATGTGGTCCCTAGTTGGACCAAAGAGGGTTTGTACTTTGTTGTCAACATGTCGTGCTACTGTTTCTCTTCAGTTTTGTAAATAAGTATTCACAAAGCGTCACATTCAACGTTAATATATTTGAGTGATTTAAAAAGTTGGCAAAACCTTTGTTCATTCTCCGTGAATTGCACCTCTAAGTGGTCATTTTCACCTTGTCTTTCCAAATTGCCTTTTTGTAATGTCTCAAACTTGTATTCACAGATTCCTGAGACAGACGTGTCAGTCCTCTCGTCATCTGTGTCCTCAGACATATTCTTCCTAGTTTGTATGTTTGTATGCCACTCCTTCACACCATATGTATGGTCATGTTCTCAGACGAAGATCCTCTAGTTTCATCTTACTTTTATGAAGTCATTAAATTAATATATTTCTTTCAGATATTTGTGTGATACCTTCCGAAAATTCCAACGTTTGAGTGAATGCTGTGTAAAAAGAAGTTAAAAAAGCAGGCAACATTGCGTTCTTATCAGAGAAGGAAACATGAACTTGCTTATAATTTCAACTGTGAATTGTACATCAGGAAGATTGTATCATTTTTCAGTTGTATTATTACCATGTATTTCAAACTATTCCATGCAATCCCAAACATTTTACATCATTTAAGAAAACAAAGCTTAAAGTGAGGTACAAACATCCGTCCGTCTTTGTTCTTGTAAGTTTCAAGAAGTCGCCTCCTGTGGACTTGAAACAGAAATCCCTGCCCTAAAAAGTGGATTGAGTTTGCACTCATTCACTTTATGGTGAAAGACAAAATGACCACTTAGATATGCAATTCACAGAGATTGATCAATGTTTTAAATGACCAAAATATATTTACGTTGAACGTGACGCTATGAATACTTTATTTACAAAACTGAAGAGAAACAGTAGCATGACATGTTGACAACAAAGTACAAACCCTCTTCGGTCGAACTAGGGACCGCATTGTGCAGAATCGTGAGCCTGACACTGACAAGTATGAACATACGTTTGAAGGTTACTACAATAGGGGGTTGATGCGCTACACCCCGATATCAAATTTTCAAGATTAGACTCACAAAGATGAAAAACAATATTTATCAAAGCCTGTTCGTCTCCATGTGCCGCCATCTTTGACGATTTTTATGCTATTTTGGGATGCTATGACTGCTGTTTTGGGATGCTATGACTGCCATTTTGTATGCTTGGCGACCGTTTGCGAGCGCTTTTGCAGCTGATACGCGAGTTTAGTTTCCATGATAAGGGTTAGTTTTCCATTGCAGATGCGTTTGTTTCAGTTTTAGAGGATATTGTTGCAGTTTTGGAAGTTTATTTTCCTATTTTGGTGATTTTTGTTCTGTTTTGGTGTATATGAGTTCAGTTTTGAGGATTTGTTCACCGTTTGTGTGGGAGGCCTGATATAGACGGGAATGTAATTTTGTGTTACCTGTTTGTAATTCGGTTATCACCCTGTCAATATCTTTAGACTTGGTAGATTTGTAGTTTGTTGAGTTATTTTTTTTCAGTAGATTTTTAGTTTAGAATTTGAATTTTGCACTAAGCAAAGAAAATCTCATGCCTCTTGCTATTGGAAAGGTACATTTCAAAACAAAAGGATAACAACAAAACACTCACCTTGCCAGCACCACTTTCCCCACTGATAATACACGACTGGTTGATGTCTGTTTCTTGAAGGTTTTGGATGGCTGCCTCTGCTATTGCAAAAATATGAGGCTCCACCTGGCTTATCTTCTTCTTACTGTATTGAGTGACGTTTTCCTGTTAACAAATAGTATCACAACATTCACAAAATGGCACATCTTCAAATTTCTTACACCAACCCGATGCAACTATATTCAAATTAACAAGGAGTTATTTTTTCTAACACTATATGGTGTCACAACTCTGTAGCTCACCTGTCCATGTAATGAAAATGATGCTGTAGGTACTGACATTCAAATATTTGCTAAAGTATCAACAACTAATAAACAAGTAACTAAACTTCCACGTTTCTAAATAAGAAAGAATAAATATACTGTTCCCAATGATTTTGAACAAAGCTTTCACCAAACCAGGAACCATACATGTCAAAGGTCACTATCCTCATTCTGGCATTTTGAATGCCCAAAACAAGGTCAAACATTTCAATGCTTGTAATGTATATGGGTACGAATATTATTTTATACTTGTCCTGAATCATGTTTCTCTCTTCTTTCCAAGAGATACTTATCCTGACTCGTACTCATTGCTTGAAATTTGAATTCATGATACATTTAGGTATCCCCATTGAGAACGTGAATCTTCTTTTTATCAGATGTACTGGGTACCACCCTTCCTTTTTGAGAAAAAAAAAGGAAGTAAATTTTATGGTTTTCGTAAAACAGGGGGCATGGATTTTTAGTCTGTTTTGGAGCATTAATGTCTACATGTCTACATGATGTTGGGTTAGTTACTTTCTTCTTGTTGGAGCTGTCAGTTGTTTGGCTACAACTGTTAGACCAAATTGATGAATGCCAGCAATATCTGAGATAGTTATTAGCAAAGACAGTGTCAGAAAAAGCCTTCCATAATAAATGTGACAGAGCAGTTGCCATACAAAGCTTACATAGATGTTCAGGCTCAGTGAGGATTAGAAGCTTGAGGATGATCTATCCTTGCTGCTTCATAAGCTGCTCTCCTCTAGAATTGGATAGTTGTTCTGGAGACTATTGAGACTAGCATGTAACCCTTTCTGACAATGTCGCCATTCTTCACCACTGGTTGATCGATGACTGTATTTGAAGGGCAAGGGATTTAATCTTCAAGATTTCAAGTCAATCAAAAATGGATAACTCTGTAACTGTAACCTCTGCTCCCTATTTCTCTTGGTCTGCCCTGCAGTTTACGAAAAATACGCAGTCCCGTCTTTTAATGAAGAAGATTGTTTTGAACCACTTTTTGATTTGCATGAAGAATACACACAACAAAGATTGTTGACAACTCCCAGGACTGATAATAATAAAGATATAGCCTGCTTGTTTTGCACTTAAACTCCATGCATTGCATGCTCAAAGTGCTAACAGGTGTCAGGGAAAAGGTTGGGTTTGAGTTCTGTGGGGAGAGAGTTCCAAAGATTGCTGTTTCAAAGTGAAATGATCTGTTGCCAAAAGTTTTCAGCTTATATGAGGGCACTTGAAGTTGAAGCTGGGTGCTGGACCGCAACAACCTTGCAGGGGTATACACAGAGACAAGGTCTTGCAGGTACTGTGGAGCTTTGCCATACACACACTGGTGGGTCAATACTAGCACTTTAAACTCAATCCACTGTTTGACAGGTAACCAGTGGAGCTATCTGAGTATTGGTGATGTGTGGGAGTCCCTCTTTGCTTGAACTACAATTCTGACAGCAGAATTTTGAATCTTCTGCAAGCACTGGATGTTATCTGCTGACGTTCAAATGAGGATGCTGTTGCAGTAGTCGAGTCGTGACAAGATGAATGACCTGACAAGTGATGCTGCTACAGACTGTATGATCATGTGATGGATACTTCTGATAGATCTGATGTGAAAGTAACATTTCTTGATGATTTCACTGACCAGTCTGTCCATGTTGACAGAAGAATTAAGGTCAAAACCCAATTTCTTCACAGCTGGGGAAAATGAAATGGTGGAGTTGCCAGCTTGTAAATGATCTACAGTCACTTTCTGAAGTTGTCTTGGAGGTCCATTGCATCGGTCTTATCATTTAACTTAAGACAGTTCTCACACATCAATGATTTGACATCTTCAATGCAGGTCTCCACTTTTGTAATGGCATTGTGCTGGACTGTTCCATCTGTCATGAAACCATCTTGAAGTTGTGTGTCATCTGCATAGAGGTGATATGCAGTGTCATGTTGAGATATGACACCTCCAAATGGAGTGGTAAACAAGCTGAATAAGACTGGTCCTAAGAGTGAACCGTGTGGAGCACCACAAAACAACTTCTGGGTGGAAGAATTGGAGTTTCCAATGAGGAGTCCAATAGTGTCAGAATAGCAATTTGGTCATCATCCACCCTACTACGCAGCTGATCAACAACACAGTTTAAGGTCATCTCAGTGCCGTCCTGAACACTGACTGATACTTGTCATTGAGATTGTGTCTCTCAAGACCAGTAAGAAATCTCACTTTGACTGTATTATCAAGGATCTTGGATAGAAACAGTAGATTTGATACAGGTCTATAGTTCTTGAGGTTTATGAGAGGTTTGATGACAGCTAGTTTCCATGCCCTGGGTATTGTTGCACTCTCAAGACTGAGATGGATTATTTTGGTCACTATGGAAAGGACACATTTAATCACCTTCAAAATAACTAAGTTGGTACAGGATCCAATGGACAGGAAGTGGGTTTGGAGGTCTTGATAACACAGGGGGGAAGCGCTGTCCATGCGAAATGTGGAGTTGCTCCAAAAGCAACTCCATTTCCTTGCTGGACAGTGAAAAAAGAACATGTGGTGCAAGAGTAAAGGTAGGTTTTCCCTCGCATTTTCATTATTTTGCAAGTATATCAGGTTTTGCCATTTGGCAGAAGGATCTAGAAAGTTACAGATCTTTCTGTAGTAGCTTGACACCCTCTCTATTTATTGCAATTGTGCGTCAAGCGAGGGCACCCTCCTGAGTGTCGAAACAAGATCGCAGAAAATGACCTCATCAGCAGACATGCCTTTTTTTGTTGTCAATTCATATATATAGTTATTTTAGGTGTTCATTGACAGTATAGGCTTAAATGCGTTAGTATTTTTTCAGTTATCGTCGAAAAATCAAACTGTACATTTCATATGGAGTTGCTCACATTTAGCAAAAAAACTGTCCATTGCGTTGTGATTTTACTGTCCAGGAGTCGACAGTTTCTAGTTTTAACCGTCATGTCATCAAACGTTATTCTAGAGATATTTGTTGTGAAGAAGAATGTTTTGTTGTAGACCTGCCTACCTGGTGTATTTATTACGATTTTGTATGATCAAGTACGATTGTACACCCATATTGCAGTTTGTTCGGCAGGGATTTAATGTACAAAACACGTACGATCAGAACAAATATATATCTACCCCAGGAATAACCAAGTCCTGGGCCCCATGTCACAAAGCTCTCGTAAGCCTAAAATCTTGTAACTTATCTCGTAGCATTTGTACTTATATACTGTAACAATGACTTACGATAGTTGTAGCGCTACGAGAGCTTTGTGAAACGGGCCCAAGGTTATTCCAAAGTATGTACATTGTTCATACTATCATTCAGATATTAGCATTGCGCATTCGGGTAAAGCACATCACTAAGCATCTGAAAACCAAGGGACATCTAACCAATGTTGAATGTGTGAAATCAAATACAATAATGACTTCGTTTGTTCCAACCGCTGGCACCAGTGATATGGACAAGAGAATGGCCGTTATTAAAGCAGAAATCCAGACAGATGAGCAGCATCCAGACCAGCTACAACTCCAACCACAAAGGGCCAGGAGAGCTGCAGTCAGGCACTCCAGGGTGTGGCCATGGCTCATAGAGGAGAGGGGATAACAGTTTGGACAGTTATCCAGCCTCCTAGACACCCATTTGAGGCTGGAGGATCCAGTAGCGTTCCAAAACTACAGAAGGTTAACACCACAGGTCTTCGATGAAGTCGTGCAGATGGTGGCCCCAGCAATCGATAGGGAAGACACCAGTTTCAGGCAACCCCTTTCACCTGGACTGAAACTGGCAGTCACACTTTAGGCACCTTGAGGCTGGAGACAACTATGGGTCCCTTGCGTATGCCTTCAGGTGTGGAGTGTCCATCTCAGAGATGGTTCCAGAAGTGTGACAGGCAACTGTGTTTAGCCTACCTGTGACCCCTGAAGCCTAGACAGCCGCAGCTAACCAGTTTGAACAGAGACGGATATATCCCACGCCATTGGGGCCCTGGATGGCAAACACATTACTATCAAGAAGCCACCTTAAGCATGCAGTCAATTACAAGGGCGTCTTTTCGATACCACTCGTAGCTCTGATGGATGCAGATTACAACTTTGTGTGCATTGAGCTTCGCATGTCAGATGCTAAGACTCGGGGCTGGTCAACGGCATGGAAAAGGAAGCCCTATAAGAGTCCCCCCACCCTGCCCTCTGACTGCAAGCCCTGATGACCACCAAGACATGCCCTTCTTCATCTTTCGCACTCAGGAACTACCTCATGAAGCCATACAGCAGAAGGATGTCCAGGAAGGGACATTGTTGGGAGGAGAATCGTTGGGATCCTGGTCAATAGATTCACGTGTCTCCTCATGACTCTAGGGCAGAAGCCCAATACTGTGAAGGATATAGTGGAGGCGACAGTGGCTCTGCACAACCTATTGAGGCTGAGGCATCCAGGCATTGCAGCACAATAGGTGGGCCATGAGGATGAAAATCACCATGTCATACCAGGGGCATGGAGGACCAAGTGGACTGGCTAGATGTGGATGAACCTCATGCACCTCGCAGCCACATCAGCCAGAGCAAATGCGAAGGATCAGAGGGAACTCCTAAAGGTGCAGTTATTCTGATTTCCAGTACATATATGGGCACAAGAACAGATCGTGAGCGTCCGTTAAAAATACTCGTATCTACTCGCATTTACTTGTATCTACTCGTGAGTCACTGCGGGATCAGACAGAGCGTCACAGATCATGGCAGATCGCAAAACATCTCAACAGAGCGTGGTGTTTGCCTTGTCCACGATTGATTTCAACCACTACAATTTATAAGCACGATGAGATGCAATATGTTGTGCTTTGTTATGATGCAATACTATCTGATGCGATGATCACGATTGATAATAAAATTGTGTTGATCGTAGAAATATTTTGAACCGTCCAAAATTTTTCTATCATCAACACGATTGCCACGACTGACCTCAAGATCTGATAAGATTTGATCGATTGCCAGGATTTGTCCACAATTAAGACCACGATTTCAATCGTGGCGCGAATTGTTATAGTGTGAACATAGCATTTGGGGGATCCATCACAACTACTGTTTCCATTGCCAAGTCTGTGGAAAAGGGTATCAACAACTGTGGAATTTCAACAGTTCATGCTCTAAGATCCATGCAACTTCATGGACAGTTACTTCGACGTAAACATTCAACGCAATGGACAGTTTCAACACAACTCCATATAAAATGTACAGTTTGATTTTTCAACGATAACTGAACAAATACTGACACATTGAAGCCTAAACTGTGAATGAAGACCTAAAATAACTATTTCTAAGAAAAAAAGGCGTGTCTGCTGATGAGGTTGTCATATTTCATGTTGAAACGATCATTTTCTGCAATCTTGTTTCGACACTCAGGAGGGTGCCCTTGCTTAACGCACAATTGCAATAAATAGAGAGGGTGTCAAGCTACTACAGAAAGATCTGTAAATTTCTAGACCCCTCTGCCAAATGGCAAAACCTGATATACTTGCAAAAGAATGAAAATGCGAGGGAAAACCTACCATTACTCTTACGCCACATGTTCTTTTTTCACTGTCCAGCGAGGAAATAGAGTTGCTTTTGGAGCAACTCCACGTTTTGCATGGACAGCGCTTCCACCCTGTGGATAAGTCTCAGTACTTCTTCTGTATAGGGTTCAAGATTTGAAACTTGTATTTCTGGCTGAGATTCCAATTCCTTATCCACAGGGGAGATGTTCGTGATCTAAACAACGTATGGCATGGATTTTCAACTTCTTTATTTATCATTTACAACATGACGTTTCTGGGCTACTTCTTGCCCCTTCATCAGGTGAATGAAGGGGCAAGAAGTAGCCCAGAAATGTCATGTTGTAAATGATAAAGAAGTTGTAAATCCATACCATACGTTGTTATGTTACGTTCCAATTTCTAAATGCCTAGCAATCATCTGTTCTTTATCGTGTCCAAAATGAAATTCACAAAGGTGTCAGCTTGAGCTGTGTCCCCATCTTCAGTGGTTGGAAGAACAACTTCAGTGGATTTACCCATTAAGGATGACATAGTAGCATACAAAGCTCTGGGGTGGTTTGTCTGCGTATGTGTGAGGTCATTGTAATACTGGGACTTGGCTTGGAAAACAAGATAGTTGACATGACACCTTTCCTTGTTGAAGATTTGCTGATGTATGTCCACACTGGACTTTCTCCTGCCCCTCTCAGATGAACGCCTTGACATCCTGGCCTTCTGAATGTCTTCAGTGTACCATGGAGGCTCATATTTCACCTTTTTGAATTTGGTCTTGGGGGGTGGCAAGCGCACATGTTTGTCCAATAGTCCTGACAGTGTGGCATTTAGTTGATCTATCAATATGTCTACATCATCTGATGTGCAAGGGGCTTGGTGTTGAGGTCTGACATTTTGTCTTGTCCTCCACTATGTAAAACCTTGACTTAAGAGTCACTCATGGCTACCTCTGCTGAGGCAACTATATTTTGTTACAGTCTAGGATTGATGTGTCAATCACACAACTTTTATCTCAAAGCTGTAGTTTCTGTCATAAACACACACAAAAATTACTTTTGAATCTTATTTTGTTATGGTGTGACAATGCAGGTACACCAAATTCAATCAAGATTTAACTCATTTTATCAGCTATTAAAAAAGCAATTTGACATTCATACTTTCTTGACTCACACAAATGTCAACATATATAAATGTAACTGGCAGATATGTTTTAAGTGAACATCTGTGGATAATTTCATCTGAAAATGTTCAATCAACAACATCATCAGTGACGCAACAACAACATCAAACAAAAGAGGGGTCACTTGCAGTCAATATCATGTGTGTCCATCGTGCGCTGTAAGACATGCTCGCAGTCTCCAGGGCATTGAAAGACACACATTTCTCAGAACAGCTGTGGGATGGTCTGCCAGTGATGTTGAAGGGCCTGTGTCAATTGAGCAACTGTCCTTGGTGGCACAAATTGATTTCGAACTCTCCATCCAAGTTCTTCCCACAGAGGCTCGATTGGGTTCATGTCTGGGGACAATGAAGGCCAGTCCATCACACAAACATTCTCATTATTCAAAAAGTCCCTTGTTACCCTGGCTGCATTGGGATGTGCTGAAACACAAAATGGTTACGACCGACATGTTGATCCATCATTTTGAGTACAGCCGGACAAAAGATATTGTCCACATAATGTTGAGCATTCAGATTGCCACTAACCACTACCATCTGGGATCGGAAGTTGGCATTGATAGCACACCAGATCATGACACCACCCCTCCAAAACGATCATGTTCAAGGACACAGTTTGGCTCAAGTCTTTCTCCTCGACGTCAATAAATCCATTGACGTCCATCTGCAAAGGATAAGTTAAACCTGGATTCAACGGAAAAAATGACATCTCACCATGGCCTGTTGCCAAGATTGGCCCTATTAGCTGCCCATTGCTGTCTGGCAAGTCTGTGGCAATGCAATAAGGTTGGACCACGGTACGGGCGACGACACCAGGTGTTGAAGGCAGCAAGGCGTCTTCGCACCGTTTGGGTGCTGACATGACGTCCTCCAGCAGCTGTTTGGAACCAATTTCGCAAATGTGAAACTCGGATATTGCAGTCCTGACGAGCTGTCGTCACAGGTGGTGCACTAGGTCGCGGACGATCAGCAACACTTCCGGTGGCCCCCGAAAACGTTTCTGAGTCTACCAGCAGTAGATGGATGCACATTAAAGTGCCTGGCAATCATCACATCTGAAGCACCTTGGCTGACCGATAGCCTAATTCCTTTCGTCTTGAGTCAAGTGTGGCATTTTCTCAAAGTGATTGAGTTTCACAATTCCTTGTGCTTTTAAAGGGCCTGGGTGCAGGTAATGCATGTGCAGGTGTTTCATGAAAGAGGTTGTGTTTATGAGAAATGTCAAAGGTTCAGTTTTAAGCATTGAAGTTCATGTGAGAGGAATGCTTGGGGACTCTAACTCAAAATGGGCCAGAATAACAGCCCTTTATCCCTACATCCTCTGTATGGCAGGAAAAACAAATCTTCAATACAACTTCTGTAAGTTCCAGGACAACAAATACCAATTGCATTTTTAATGGCTTTCAGTATATTTTACAAACAGAAATCATTTTCCAATGATTTGACAGAATATTCATTGTAATGCTAGGCTTGCACGTGCCACAATTCATTAAGAGTCAAGGGGTCAAAAATTACAAATTACACAAGTTCATTCAAAAAGTGCAAAATGAAAATGGAGTGAGGGGACATGTCATCAATAGCAAATGTGACCATCCTGGTCACCCATACATGCCAACACACGTCTCCTCATTGAAATCATCAGTCAGTGGATGACGTCAGCAGGAGTCCTGTTCCAAAAACGTCTGTTCAAGTTCCTGTTGGTTTGATGGAGGCTATACATGCTGTCTCAACTGACGATCAAGATGATCCCAGATATGTTTAATGGAGTTCATGTCTGGAGAACGAGCTGGCGAAGGCAATATGTTGACGTTAACGTTGTGCAAGTATTCTCGTTCTGGCAGTGTGAGGCCTTGTGTTGTCGTGCTGCAAAATGACTCCTCTTGCTGTCGTCAAATAAAGAGAAACACAATAGGTCTTGGCACTTCATCCTTGTATTGCTGGTTATTCAGATTTCCATCGAGTGAAAACCAGTCTTGTTGTTCTCGGGGCCACAAATGTCATGATGGCTCTTCCATTAAACGGAAAATGTTCTTGAACACAGTTTAGAGCCAGTCACTCTCCTCTATGTAAAAAAACCTCAAACTCTGCCATCGTTTTTGACCGACTTTAATCTGTAGAGAGCACTACTCTCTTCCAGTCACGTCGCTGCCACCGACATATGCAGTTTCCGCCCATTGCAGTCTGTGTTGACAGTGTAGATGGGTCAAGGCTCGTAGGCTAGTATTCCAAGTCGTCATAGGACTGTTTGTCTGCTGATGGCATACCCTAAAACTGTTACCTCCGTTGACATCACCATCACAAATCTGTTTCAGAGATGGATCTGCCAGATATAGCAGTCTTGGGCCAGTGTCGTGACTCTTGATCTTGTACTCTTGGGCGGTCTTGGGTGTGGGCAGTTTGCTGGTAGCAGTTTATCAATTTGCCAAAATTACGTTTTTCACGTTTTGAAAATCCAGGTCTGTACAAAGTTTTTCGGACGGCTGCGTTGTTTTCAGGAGCATGTTGCACTTGGCAAATGTTTTCTGCTTGGGTTCAAACCTGAACCAGCAATTACAATTACTTTAAAAGCGATAACTTTCTTTTGCCCAATAGTTTTAAGTTACATTTGACCACTTTCTAAATGCCATTGTGTACTCGTATTCACTAGCCTGATTTTTGAACACCGTGCTACAGCTGTAGAAACCTTTCGTCTGTTGGATGTCTTGCTGACACCTTTATGTTTTTCCTAAAACACGTGATATTTTCCTAAAACTGGTTTGAATAGCATGTACTTTTAACCCATAATTACAGACGCTGACAGATGCTGCACAAGAGCCCCATGACATAAGCTCATCTGACTTTCAGTCTGGGGAGCTGATGATTTAAAAAACTTGTTGTGGACTAGGAGTAAAGAGGGTGACAGACAACATACCTGTTCATATATCTTGATTTCTTTGTAAGGGTTGACTGACACCAGAATAGATCCAGTAAATGTCTGTTACCTTGTCAAGGAAGTTGTCAAAAAGAGCAATAAATAGAGCATCAAGCATCTGAAGATGAGGTGAAAAACAAGTGAGAGTGTGAATTTTTTTTTTCCAAGTCATTAGAGTCAAAGCCCTTGGCATGGGAAGAAAACACAAAATGATGCAGTTCTCAGAAGTTTATTGTTTTTACATTAGTGTAAGGTGCTGTGAAAACTACAGGATCAAACACTGCACAGCAAATTCTGGCACACCAGATGACTGTAATGGGCTACCAGTGACACATCAAGAATAATAATACAGTATCCATGGAACTGGCACTGCGTGAGCACTGGGGTTTCAATGGGTTACACCATGACTTCGTGCTACAGCAAATGGATGAAAAAAATGATGCAAATATTTTAATTACAACAATCAAGAGCCATCAGAAGATGACAAATCCCCCCCCCCCCATTTGAAAGAACAATCATCTGACAGTTACTTAGTCAAACTTGATGAGAACATTTCTGCCTTATCTGTCTGTCCTTATACAAGAGTTGTCATTGGGCTATTATAACAATATCATGAAATTGAGATTCGTAATTTTAAACTTCGATGTTAAGTACACGCCAATATCAAAGTTAAAAAACAAAATATAAATTTAATATCCCCTACAGCAAAAGGCAGAAGTTGACTACCTGGTTTTTTGTTTGAGCACAGTTTCATGAAAGAATGTATAGTACTATTTCAAGATATGGTCCTGACAAATGTAAAACTATGAACAGAGTCATGATCAAACTAGCTGTCATGGAAACACGAAACAAATTCATTTAAAAACAATTCCTACATAACAAAAGTCACAAGTCGGCCCTTGAATAACACATGTAGCAGGGTGGGATGGAAAATAGGAACAATTGCATATATTGTTAGTAATTGTTAGTAAACATTCCCCCTGGATTATGGTAGCCTTTATTCCTGTGGTTCCACAGACACATACAGCAAATCAAATGAAATTTAAAACACTAAGTCATAGCTATTCCTGGTGGTATGCCTATCTAATCCCTGAGTTACCTCCCTTGATCCTGAAGTCACTGTATTGTAGATCTAAAACCCTTCACTCGTGAACATATCAACTTTGTCAGACCACTCGATGAAATATACATGTTATTTGACAACATTAACAAAATATTCTATTTATTATATTTTTATCATTGTTTATAAATGATCAAGACATCGAGTAAGACTGCATTTTATTATGCAACCCAACTACAGTCTAGCCCTTGAGTTCTGGGCAAAAGTGATATTATACTCAGTGAAATAACATGTTATTCTACTGAGTGAAAATACCATTTCTATTTTCACCAATATTTACAGCATTTCACCCTTAAGAATATAATAAAATTTCCTTATACCACTAGACACAAGATGAGGATTCAACCTGATTTCCAAATATTACCCCCTGAATAATAACTTATTATAATATCAATGGAAATCACTTCCGGTCCGTGACATCACTTCCGGTACTAAAATGACTTTCAGTTCCGATTGAGCGACGTCACTTCCAGTCCAGTGACGTCACTCCCGGTTCTATGTTGTCACTTCCGGTTCTATGACGTCACTTCCGGTTACGGAGTGATTACTAATAAAGTAATACTAATAAAGGATATGATTATATAATATCAAACTCTGACGTCGTCAACCACTAGTTGTAACGTTTATTAGCTTCTGTCCTTAATGTGTTCAGTTAGGAGATACCAATGAATAATAAGTTCCCTACCGTGGTATCTTCGGCCCTCTGTGTAAGGCAAGTTGGCTGACATTTTCGTGAAACCTGTCTGAACTGGGTTGACTGATTAGATTGTGCCATAGTGGGAGACGTAGAGGTTTGTCTGTCAACAGTTGAAGAAGACATGGTTACCATGGTCTGGCTGGCCACGCTGGTGCAACTAGGTATACGGTACTATACAATTGTGCTGCTGAATCTTTTGTAGAACATCTGGAATGAACTTGAATGGAGGAAAGGCATAGGCTATCATTCCGTCCCAAGGCGACGGATCCGGAACCGGACTTACTAAGGTTTGAAGACGATTGTTCCTGGATGTCGCAAACAGATCTATCCCTGGTGTCTCCCAAGTCTGCCCTATGAGCCTGAATGCTTCCCAATTCAGTGTCCATTCCATGGCAATCACTCTGTTCTGACGGGATAGAGAGTCTGCTAACAAATTCACCCGTCCCGGAATGTGACGCGCCCTGATAGAACATCTTACAGCATCTGCAGTCCTGTGTGATGCTCAGTAGCTGAATTGGTACCGCCTTGTTTGTTGACATAAGCAGCCACCATGGAATTGTCCGACACCAACATGAGATTTTTCCTGTGTAAATGGCACCCCCAACCACGGAAAGCCTTCAGAAGAGCCAACATTTCTAGGCAGTTGATATGTTCCCCCTTCTTCTGGACTCGTTACAAGCCAAGGTGCTGGTGAAATCCAGAACGGTAGTACTTGGAATTGAAATCTGCGGCCGTTCATGGCGAACATGAGGTATTTCTGCAATCGCGGTTGAATAGGGATATGAAGATATGCATCCTTGAGATCTATGCTGATGAACTTTCGAGTCCTGGCGTAGATTGGCTAGGGACTCCATCTTGAATTTTGGAGGCTTCCTTAAAAATGTTTTGTTCAACAACTTTAGATCTATGATCCTTCTTGGGGGTGAGAAATACTGGAGAATAAAATCTGCATGTTAGGTCCGATGGAGGCAGTTCTACAATTGCCCGTTTCTCCAGTAATTGATCTATCGCTAGGTTTGTGCCCACTAGACGCAGGCCTTGTAGGAAAAACTGACAGCCCGTTGGGAAACAAGTCACAGGAGGTAGATTGCCCCAGGGAAGTACAAAAACCTCTCTGTACCACTGAAAGGATCCACTTGTCTGAAGTTATCAACTTCCAATTGTCCACGTATTGGGATAACCTGCCCCCTACTGGCGACTGAGTTAGAAGTCCAAATCCAAATCGAGAGACGTTTCTCCAGTTCGCAAGGAGGAGAAAGCTGTACAGCGAGAATTCCTGGAGGTGGGTCTTGATCCTCGAAAAGACCGGGCTCCTCTACATCTAGATGAGGTTTAGCCTCTGGAAGTCATATTGCCTGAAGAGCGAGATCTAGATTCCGACGCCCAATCAAAGGCCGATCTCTGAAACAGATGAGAACGAGCCGGTGTAGATGAGGTGTTGCGAGATGCTGAAGTAGATGAATGTGGGACCCGTCTAGGTCTGGAAGAAGGTCTGCCTCTGTCTTGGTTCAATAGCGCCGAAGCCAATCTCTGATTAAGATTCCTACAGGTCATGGCATCCCAGGCCTCAATGGCTTGTTGACATTGGCCGTTAAATGTACTCTCAGATTCCAAATGTTGTTGGAAAAGAAATTCCTTTGGAGGTTCCTTACTGAATCCAGTCTCTGAATCCGTTCAATGGCTGTAAGACGACCTTAAATATTCACTTGATTTGCCATAGCATCCGATAGAGACTGATAAACCACGTCAAGGAAAGAGTGCACCAACGCCACCTCCTGAGCTGACATAGATACTAATGTGTCCTTTATAATTCTGGAGTAATCCTGGAAAACTGGAGGAAGCAAGGCCTGTACTCCGGCGGCAAACCAGTTAGAATAGGATAACACGTCAATGGAAGTCCGAGCAGCCATGTCCAATTCCTTGAAATCCCTATTGGAACACGGAGAAGCCTGTTCCTGTAAGTGGGCAAAGTCCTTGTCTAAGGCTGGCTGGCCGTGATAAGTCAATCATGAATGGTATAGACTTGCTTATGACTAACCCTAGGTAGGTTATTCAAAGTCGTGGCCTTGGAGAGGCCTAAGTTATAATTCTCCAAAACTTTCTTAAGTGAAGACGCATGGGGTAAGGAGAGCTTGGGCATCCGTTCCAGCGGTAAGCAGCCTGATAAACCCAACTCCACAGGTATGTCAATTTCCTGCTCCTCGGACGGAGGTGGAAGGATATTCGGATAAAGTCCATGTAAATGTTCTAACTTTTCCTTAAATCTTCCCCCGAAACATCCATAGGTTGTACTGTCAATAAACCCTCTCTCATAGAAAACTCTGGTTGTGAAAAGGGTTACACCAATGAAGCATCTGGATCGGCTAAGTCAGACTTAGACACGGGATTAAGGGCGGATTGTCTGTGTCAGTATATGCCTATGGGTCTGCCTGGCCATATCCTCTGAACCGCTAGGTCCGTGATTGTCGGGTTGCTGGACTGAGACACCATTGTCAATAGCCGCTGACCAGGTAGTATGGCACAAACCGGGACGGGAATCACGTGCAGCCTGCACAGTATAAAAAAACCGTGAAAATCCTGCGGCCCAGTCCCACCGTGGGAAAAGATAGCAGGCTGTGAGCAACAGGGAACCACCATGGATGGCTGGTTCCCAGGGACAAAGGTTGCGGTGTGTGTAGCCTGAGCCACGAACACACAGGACCCGGTGCCGGCTAAGCCGACACCATCCCCGTCGCCTGAAGCCCTAGGCTTTTCCCCCTGAGGGGACCGGCCTCCTGTGTACGTCAGGGCATGATAACAGGCTCTCTCGGACAAAGCACCCCTGATTTCCGCAGGAAACGACTTTGGCTCCCGGCTCATGCCATTGACCACCAAACCATTGTGGCTAACTTCTGTCTTTTGGAGGGAATTAAAGACTCCTCCATATGCTTAGTTATCCGACTAAACTTACCCTCATTTCTGATCCTGCACGGACTTATCCATGGCCGCCTGAATATCAGACTTGAAACCCGCCAATAACTCCGAGATAGCAGACAGATCTAAATGGCTTGAAGATTTAGATTTTTATCTAGACCTGGATTTAGGTTCAGATTTAATCGACGAAGTGGGAGATCCAGGATTAACTTTTTTAGTTTTTGAACATTCTGATGATGATGACTGACTGACTGACTGAGTTTGGTTTTACGCCGCTTTTAGCAATATTCCAGCAACATCACGGCGGGGTGATGATGATGAGGAGTGTTTACA